TTAAAGGAGACCAGAATGAGGCCGGTAGCTCAGTGGTAGGGTACTTGAATAACAAGCATGAGACTCTGGGCCTCTTCCCCAAAAAGAAAGAAAAGAATTAGGAAAAAGTAAGCAAAGAGGCTTACAAAATGAATTAAAACAGTGTTGGGTATTTTTAATTGGGAGGAATCACTCAGTTCCATTTTGCAGTTGAAGCCTCCATTACCCCACTGCTCCAGCATTTTCTACCTGTTGACCTCACTTTTGCACTGAGCTGCCCAGGCTTTGATAACTGCAGAGGCAAATAGTCACGTCCAAGAGTACACTAGGCAGGGGTCACGATGATAACCTCTTGGGTTCAAACTTGCATTTAACTTCTGCTATTGAGAGCTATTGAAAACAGGAAATATTTAACATGAACGTAGCCAGGCTTTGAGCCATAAAACGATAATAGATGCTATTCCTTGGGTCTACATAATACACTTGTACTTTTTGTGTAGAATATCCCATTAAATAAACTTTATGCAACAGGTGATTGTTGTGCGTATCTCACAAATAAAAATGAGGCCCGAAGAACTTCAAGTTTCTACAAAGTTTGCACAGTCTGGGTCTGTGAGTGGTAGACCTGTTCTACTTGATTTTGTCCGTCGTGGGTGTGAGCTTGCTGCCCACAGCCTGGACAGCTGTGCTAAAGTAAAACATTGGGAGGCAGGCAGTTTGTCTTTCTCATTGTGGTGACAGAATACCTGACCAAATAACTAAAGGCAGGGTACATTTTTGACCCAAGTTCTGGTGTGATAGAATTCCTGATAGCCTGGAATGGCCTGGTGGTGGGAACAGATAGAATGACTGAACACTGTCTGCTGCAGCTTGTATTTTGGTCTAGTACATCATGGTGGGTCAGGATGTAGAGAACTCTTGTAGGAAGCTGGGTCTAGCTATAACCATCAAAATCCACCTTCCAACAAACTGCCTCCTCTAGACTGGCCCCATCACCTAAGGGCACCATGGTCTTCCAACACAGCAGCATCACCATCTGGCAGCCAACTGTCCTCAAGCATGAGTCCGTGAGGAATATTTCACACTTGAGTGATACTCAAGAATTGCCCATTTGGGAAACTGTCCAGTGCTGGGGTCATCATGCCACAATGTGACATCTCGGCATTTGAGAAAACAGGACAGAAGATCACGTGCCTCCAATCACAGCACAAACATCTGCAGGAGCTATGCACTGTGAAATGCGGGGCAAGTTGCTGTTCTCTGGATCTGATCCCACCTTGAAGGAATTCTACCATAAATGGAAGATGACTTTAAATGCCACGTTTTACGTATTTATTGGATATGAATTGATTTTGTGTCCATTTTAAAGTTGACTTCAACATTATTGATCGCCAATGCGTGTGGGTATATATACTCTTTAAATTTATTTTTTTAACTTGACACTTGACTGGCTCCCTCTTTTATTAATGAGTTAAATAAAATCTTTAATGGTTTGTTTTATATGTGCATAAAAGTGACGGTCTTGTGTTGAAAGGCCAAGTGGCCTCATCATAGCTTTCTCAGTATGGTCCTGATGATACCTGAACTTTGCAGTAGTCCAGTGGGAAATGGGCGCATTCTCCAAGTTGCCTGTGAGGCTTGTATCTTTCCTCGAGTGGTGCATGGAATTACAGAACATAGTTAAGGTAGAGTTGAAGACTAGCGCTGGGAAATAAATGGGAGTCCTTCTCCAGATGTTTGAGTGGGCCATTTCCATCCTGTCTTCTTGGATTAGCAGTTGTCGGGCTCTGACTTACATTTTGTTGCTGTAAGAACGGGGCATCTTGTGTCTTCGTTTTGTCCATCGTACCTGCCGAATGTTGAGAGCCTGATTAGGTAGGGTGGCTTGGCCCTCTGAGGCACAGGAAACATGCTTGATGAGGAGAGGTAAGTGCTTCATGTGAGGCCTTCTGTTATTTTCTGGGCTCCTGTCTTCAGGAAGGTTGTTTAGACAAATATAGAGACAGTCTCATTTAGCTGAGGAAATGCCTCATGAATTAGAAACAGAAGCAAATCCACAAATCAAGAAGAACCAGAGTTGAGTCACATGATGACTGTTTGGAAACCCTAGAGGAAGCCTGAGAAACAGCAAAGGCTTTTCGAAGATCTGACATACGAACGCCATCCAAGTCTTACACATCTGACAAGGTGTAATGGACCGTAACTCTCATCAGGGTCTGTTTGGAATAGTTCTGGAGACCAGAAACTGTAACCATTAGCGGTTCTCAAATAGCACTTCCCATAGAGATGGGTCTCACATACCTCTGATATTCCTCAGACTGCCCAGAAAGCCTGTGAGTAGAGCTAGGGGCAGTTCATCAAGAGTTCACAAAAGTTCCCTTTAAGCCAGAGATACCTTAGCTACACTACAATTTTTCATTTCATTACTGTGGTCACTGTAATGCCAGCTGTAGGAGATACAACTAATGCAGAGATTTTCAAGCATGCCAGGTAGGAAGGAGTAGGAGGAGGAGGAGAAGGAGGAGGAGGAGGAGAAGAAGAAGAAGAGATACCAATAATATTATTAAAGTGATTATTACAGAAATTGGAAATTAGAAAAGTACTCAGGATGTGGAGTGAAAAAAAAGACATGACTGATTTATTGAGATTTCGGAGCCACTAAGAAAAGCAATGTGAAACCAAGAGGCTCTTACGGGTTGAAAAACCAGAAGGAAAGGTAAAAGGGTCATTTCTTTTAACTTAATTGTTTCCTTTCTATTCTTTAAGTTCATTTTAACAACACGTTATTTATATTTGGAGACAAAGAGAGGAAAAAAAGAAAAATAGGGGGAAAGGAATGAAAAGAAGACAAAAAAGAGGAGCCTCCCTTTTTAAAACAACAAAAAAGGAAGCTTCGACTAGACACAAAAGCACAAGACTCAGACAGAATGAGGGGCCTCTGTCCTGCAGGCCTTTGAAGCCAGAAGCTGCTGGAAGGCGTCTTTGCTGAGTGCAGGTGTCCACCCATTTGCTGGACCTTCTGTCCTTGAGATCCTGCGTAGCAGGGAAGGATCTGTTGTCTCTTTCCCCTCCTGACTGCAGTGTTAGCCCTCCCTAGGAAACCTTTGTCTTAGCTGATTGGCTTGTCTGAGCAGACACAGGCAGAAATCCAACCCTGAAGAGCCATCAAAAGTGACGCAGAGACGAGGCAGGCGAGGGTGGGAGTTCCTTCCCATCAAAGAAGCTTAGGTAGCATGGTAAACTCCACCTGCAGTGGGCTGGCAAACGTCTGCCCTGTGAAGTGTCTACACACTGGAGAGCTATTGCAGGGCCCGCACAAGTCAAAGTAATTACTGCATCTAGGAGACAGCAGCGAGGCGGGGGTTGGGGGGGGCTTTCTAGAACTTTATGTCTCACCAGGTAGTTACAGGTAGAGACTCCAAACAAAAAATTCCATATGTGTGCAGGTAATGGCATTTCAACTCCCTTCCACCCAACACTTGCCAAGAACTGCAACTGGCTGACAGGGCAGTTACAGTATTTACTGACTACGATTCCATCTTGGCAAGGCTGATTTTTAAATCCCTTGTTTGTTTTGGTGAGTAGTGCAAACTTCAACGTAGAGTCCTTGCAATTCTCATGGGAGACAGCACCAGTTGTAGTCTCTACAGTAGGAAGCTACTCTAGGGTATGATGCTGATGGGGTCAGAAAGAGGCCATCACCTAGGAAGCCCCTGACTCAAGAGGAGTATCCCTGACACTTGATCTAGCATTGTAACAGATGTGCGCTTTACAGTGAGCTGTTCAAGGTTTAGACCGAAGACCGTCACGTGGGGCGTCCAACAAACAGAATTTGCTAGTTAGCGACTATTTTCACAAAGGCATTTCAACAGCTGTGTCAGTGAGGCTTTTCCTTATCATTTTGCTACATAGGTTTTAATAGTCTTTTTTATATATGACACATGCATCTATATGCCTGCATTGAATAATGGAACAGAATATGAGTAGGCACTGTTAGAAACAAAATAAATAATAAGTTCCCCTTCCTCCCTCCCTCCTTCCCTCCTTCCCTCCCTCTCTTTCCTTTTTTTGCCAATAGAAGAAAGAAAATAGCCATCTACCTTCAAAGCTCAGGGAGCACATGGAAAATAGGGTGGAAAGAATATAAGACCAGGGGATGGGGAGACATCTTCCGGAAGTGACACAGCCACTGACTCAGGAACTCATTGCATTGAGGCTACCTGCACAAGACCTGTACATGATCATATTGAGCCCCTCAACATTTCATCATAGATGGCAGGTCACGAGGTCCCACCCCTCCCTAAGGGGCTACTGGTAGTTAAGGGTTGTTTGATGGGAGATGTCATTCTGAAATCTGTCTCTTATTGGTTGTTGAATAAAGCACTGTTGGCCAATAGGGAAGCAAGATAGGTGGGACTGGGAGTTGAGGAGGACTCTAGGAAGGAGAAACACAATGTAGTCGCCATAGGGGTAAGAAGTCTGGATCCTTTCTCCAGTAAGAGAAATACTTAGATTAACAATTATGGAGTAAATATTTAAGTCAGAGATAGCCAGTAAGAAACCAAGCAAACAGCCAAGAGCTTCATAATTAATACAGTCTCTTGTGCATTATTTGGAGACTGCAATTGTGGCAGGGCCCAGGCAGATGGCGGGGTAGGTTGCTCTCAACAGTTGTTGGACGAGGATGTCATTTTCTTTAGTGGTATAGCTACTGATAAGTAGCTATCACTCCACTAAATAACCTAATCATGCTCAACCTACAAATGACAACTGCACATAGTGGGCCATGCTTATGAGGGGTGGGGTGACACCTTAGCAATTAAGAGTACTGCCTGCTCTTCTAGAGGACCCGGGTGGATTCCTATCACCCGCAGGGTGGTTCACGACCATCTAAAGCTCCATCCAAGAGGATCCAATGCCCTCTTCTGACCTCCACTAACACCAGGCACGCAAGTCACGTACAGGCAAGACGCTCATACACATAAAATAATAAAATTAATATGTCTAGATATATTCACATGTAACAAAAGAAGATTTTATTTAAAAATATAAATTTATGAAATAGGAGAAAGACATTGGACAGGAGAGGAACTGGGATGAAAGAGGAGGTAAACATTAAACTACCAAGCAACAAAAATCAAAGCAAAGAAAACCAGAAAAAGGGAAAAATAATAGAGGAATGTGTCTAACAAGGATGCTGAGCAGTCTTTCTTAGAAGGCGCAAAACTTTTTGAAAAAAAAATGTAACATTACTAGAGATTATGCCGAAAATGTGTTATCCCGTTTTGTCTTCTATGCACTATGGGAAGGTATCGTCCTCACATTTGTCAAAGAAGAAAACGACTCAATGAGATTTATTGTCCAAAGCAAAACACCGGAGTGAACAAGGGTTCCAAGTCAGAGCATCAGTTTTCCAAGTGTAGATCCCAGGACTTCAGAAGCAGGCTCGTGAAACCTACGGAAGCATGTACGCGTTAATAGCGCACAGCACCACACACATAACCAGAGAAATATTTCCATGAGAACTTACTCATTCAAAACTAATCCAAAAATCACGGCGATGGGTACAGCTCCCACGGGGCTGCAGGGAAAGGAGGCTGCTTGCTCGCATCTATGAGGATCGGAAGGAAAGCAGAGGGCACAGGAAGCCTGGGGAGCCTGTGCACCTCAGGGCTTGCCACCTCCCTCCAACAGCACACTTCCTCCAGGTCAGCCCCACCTCCTAAAAGCTCCAGAACCTCCCCCAAATAGCGCCACCATCTGGGGGAACAGGTGCCCAACTACACAAATCCCAGCAGGGTATTTGGCACCCAAACTGCAGCAACTGAGAACATAAAAGGGGGTGCACGGGAGAGCAACTTCAGATACAAGTCTTCGGCAGCGGGAGGGGCACCCACCGAGACAACACGGAGGCTATTTAATGAAGTGTTGCCTCTGGGGAGCTATTTCAGGGCCTCGTGCATGCTCAGCAAGGGTTCTATCAGCCCAGTCACACCCTGAGCCGTCTTACGCAGATGTGACGTCATCTAGACTTAAGAGCACTGTCCTTGGGTTCTAAAGAAGGCCCTCTGCAGCCCGCTCTTCAGCTTCCTCACCAGTGACAACGCAGAATTCTGGCAGTCAAAGCGTGTGTCAGACGTCACCGGTTCCGACTGTGCAGTCTTTATTGTAATCATCCACAGTCTGTGTTTATGGCATTTGCCTATATATAATCTGATAACAGATCACAAAACAATGCATATTTAAATGTGTTATAAATGTTATCCAAATACACTAAAAACGTTTGACAGTTCAGCCCTGCTGGATTTCTCTTCTCTTTGGACTGTTATTATCAGTGGCCTTAGGCAAGTCACTTCTGATTCAGTTTTCAGTCAAACACAGCCTTATGTAGAGCTATAAATGACTTTTCACTAAGTACTTCCCTATAGGCAAACTAGAAAATAATAATACTTTACAAAATTGAGGTCATAGGTATTAATTATTTCAAGTTCTAAGCAGGGACGTGGCCGTGCTCTGTTTCTAGGACAGGATGCTTGCCTGTCACAATGCTTTGTTCTCCTTGGTAATTACATATCATTTAAAAAGTATATTTTAAACACGACTTTTCTAAATACCATGTTCAAAGGATAACAATTTCATTATGGAAACATGGCTTTCTCTATTATCATGTTCTTTCCTGCAAATGCTGGCTTGTGAGAACCTTGAATTCATTCATGAATGTTACTATTCAACATTCATTCTGTTCTACACCACTTATTATTATTCGTGATTTTTGTCAGTTAATATAATGAGGTTGATTTTGAAAGGCTTACTCTCTTGTAGGTGTTGTTTATTTCTTTTTGGTACAGTGTTGGCATTTTCAATAGCTACCACATTTCCTGTTTCTATTAGGATAACCCAGGATTTTCAGTTAACATAAGCTGCCAGCCATGGATAATTTAGAACATTTATTAGCTAATTCATTTCATGCTACTTAAAAACATTTAAAAACCCTTGGCTGCTAGTATCTTCGGTATAGAACTAACATTTGTAAATAGCGATGTTTTTACTATACTAAAAAACCTAGAGAGCTGGGAAGCCCTGAAGCATTAATCACGGCCCCCAAGGGACATGACCTGGTGTTTGCTTAACCTTTGGGCACCCCAGCCCACCTTTTCCTGGGATTGTCTCTTTGATACTTGTCCTGCTGTGTTGGCTCATGGGACTAAGAAAAATACTCTCTTACTTCTGACCAGGGATCCCTTAATTGGTTGCTTATCTAATTACTCCACAGAACTTAACACATTACTGTTAGTTTTGGGGATCTTAAGCCCTCTTAGGAACTGGCCACATCCTTAAGCACCTTCCTTCCTGTTTTGTCTTATCTCGTTGCTGTGTGGGGGAGACACCAACCTGGCTCACTGGAACACTGGCACCCTAGCAGAGGCTCCACCTTGACAGCAGTACAGTTAGATACAGTTGCTCTACTGCCCCTGGCCCCGCCCCCCAACTTCTCTGAAAGGACACTGGGAAGGGCATGGTTAGAGCACCTTCAAGTGTTCATAGGGATTCTAGGCGTGTGAGAGAGTACCATAGCTGTCATGTGATTCAGAATCCAGACCGGTTGGGAGGATCTTCCCAGTCAGTTTATTTTCCTGAAAAAAAAAAAAAACATAACAAATTTTTCTTATGAGACTCTATCAAGGACTGAGTTGCAAAAGAATTGTCAAATGCTCATTTTAAAAAAAGCACTCTATTAGCAAAAAAAAAATTTGAAAAGCCCAAACTCTTACTCAAGTACAGTCACATATTTTAGACATGTGGTCTCTGGGATTGACAGAGACAGAGTTGTGAGGCTCAGGTATCATTCTCCAGGTCTCACCTTCATGGAGATGGATGAAGGAACCCCCTTCTTACCAATTACATCTTAAAAGAAACTTGAGTAACCTCATGTGATCTCAGCTCTTTCTGGCAGAATGGGGATGTAAAAGATTCAGTGTGGTTACCAACCTTTCCCTGATTCATTATGTTAAAGAGAGACATGTCTCCACAACCAGCTTGTGGGATGAGCAGAGTGGGCATTAAGCAACCCCCACAACTGAAAATCAGAACACGTCTTAGACCTTTAAGGAGAAAGGAGGCAATTTTTCTACAGTGCCCCACCAATGCCCTCAGCTCTGACTTCATCCTCTCGGTGTTAAGGAAGTAGACACACGAAAGAAAGAGAGTCAATTAGGACATACGCCTTTTCCGAGTTAATAGATCAAGGAGTATAAACCCAAATGCGCCATTCTTAGTGTCTTGGCTGCATCATTAAATACGTGATCCAAGAAAGGAATCCGGGAAGATCAGAGGAGGAAAACTGAACCCCAGGGACTGGGAAAGCCTGCGGTGGCTGCCTCTGGCACCCTCGTGTCCTCATCCAGAGGAGGCAGCTCACTGGCTGGATGTCCTCCATCCACCCAGATCCTGGGAGCACTCCCCTGTTGTTCAACCTAGCCTCATGGCATCAGCTCCATGCAGGAACAGACCAATCCCCAACTAAGGCTTCCATTCAAGAAATCCAGACTCCCTTAGCAAGGTCTGCCCTGAATTGTTTTGTTTCTAAATGCCTGACTTTGCTACTGACTGTCTTAAAGGATCAGAGGACTTGAGAGGAGCAACTGGGGTCCTTGTGCCTCCTGGCTCCGAGCTGTGTTTGGGAGCCCTGCAGCTCCTCTAGGGAGGGGCCAGGTGCAGAGGGATGGTTCGGTTACTCTTCTTCCTCCATGTTGACTGAAGGCAAGCTGAGGTCCCTTCTAGCCACACTGCCCTCACCCCAGCTTGTTTTTAACTTCAGGAGAGTGGAATTTTCTGTTTGGTAATTTCCTTTCTTGTTCAAGGGTTGTCCTTTTTATTTATTTATTTTTTTACAAGGTTTTACTTTCTTATCAGCTCAGCCACTGTTGCTGCTACTGTAGCTCACATGTTGACAAGGAGGGTGGGGGCAGGACTCTCCAAAACAAAACCACAGAAACAATGTGAAAGTTTTTTTTTATTCTTCTGGCATGTTGCCTTCAAGAGTGCAGTTATGGGTAACAGGGAAGCAAGCAAGTCCCAGGGGCACAGAGGGAGGAGAGAAAGGATGCACTGACTTTCATCTTTTTGAAACTAACTGGAAGATGACTCTAAACGCCTGAAGTTACTTACAGGCTCAGGGAGCAGCGTCCCGGAGGAAAGAGCCGATTGCTCGGCGTCGGTTTGCAGCTTCACTTCTGCTGTTTTTTAATCTTGTCATCTGCTAACATGTCGGAAAGGGCACCAGTGGGCACTGACTTCCAGCCACATGATGGATGAGAGCTTGTCTGGGAGTTTCTGATCTAGATCTGGGCACACTGGTCTGGTCTGAGAGTTCCGATTTCCTCTGGGCATGGGATACTGCTGGAAACCACTTTCCTTGGAGTGGTGATGTGATCTTCAGCCACCTGTCTGGGATCCTGCCGGACTCTGGCCCTGAGAATGAAGCCTCCTTTCCCTCCACCTAGAGTTAGTAATGCCAAGAGATAAACAAGGGATTCTCAGGAAGTCCATGCTGAAAGACAAGGGACACAGCGTGCTCTGTGTGACAGGCAAGCATAGTTCTCACAACAGACAGGGGGAGTGCATGGCTTGGCTTTGTTTGTCCCTCTGGGGTCAGGGAGGATGACATGAAACATCTGGTTGGGAAGGACATCCCCCCCTAGAATACCTTATCCAAGGTACGAATGAAATTCATGGTGGACTTGAGTTACAGGCCCAAGATTGTTCGTGTAGACACAAATCTTTGAACTGATGAAAACCCAGACTCTAAAAACAGCTATGGCTCCAAGTATTTTGGATGAGGATCCTAAATATGGAATTAGTTGTGAGAACTGATAAGGGGGAAGCAGAAAGACACAGGTTTGCAGCACTCCTTGTCTGTGTTGTGGGCTCGGTCTGTTCTAGGTATGTCCTCAGATCGTTTGACCAAATCTGTGTTCCAATTTTGAGTAAGACCAACTTCCCAAGGAAGCTGGAACTCACAGAGACCGTGGGCCTGTCCCAGGATCCCAGAATTTATAAGTGATAGGGCAGAATTTCCTTTCAGGTGTGTGCTCAAGTGACCAAGTGACTCTGATTGTCATTCATCCAAACAGAAAAGAACGACAGTTGTAACAGGAGACCACAATGCTGCCAAGTGCTTACAGTGAGTTACATACGCAGTATTCCAGGCTCTTTGGAGTCTTCCCCCTCCAAGGAGAGCAGAGATAGGTTAGGTCACTTGACAAAGGTTGTACAGCTCATGACGTAGAACGAGGGTTTAAACCCTGACACTCTGACTGCAGAACCCACCCTTTTCGAGACCTTGTTGAAAGTACAGAAATGCAATCTCAGGTGCAGAACTTCATCTGAAGATCCACATATTCAAGAAAGATCAAGAAAGATTGATTAAAATTCACCATAGTTGTGTGACCTCAGGTGGTGGGTTTGGAAGTCAGTACCTTATATGCACAATTTGATGTCATGAGTGTCCATGAGCCCACACGGGGCAGGCAAATTCTTGAGTTCATGGCTAAGCCTCTCTGGCTGGTGGAGTCTCCATCACAGAGGGTGCCACCTCACCCTTCTCAGAGACAAGTGATCCCCTCGGCCTCTGGGCACCAGCCTTATGTGTGTGAATATTTGTCTGCATAGAGATATGCGTGGGGAGACCCCGCACTGTAATTGGTGTGGTATATTCTTGTTTTGTCTCCTTCAAGCTTCTCTTGTCATTGGTTGTCTATCATATTCTGTCCCCGGAAATGTCAGGGTTTATAATAGGAATGAAGTAAAGAGCTGGACAATTGCATAAAATTAAAAGTATCGTTTTCCAGGCGGTGATA